ATACGCCATCTTTGACTTGGACGGAACTCTTCTCGACACGGAGACTATCTACACTGTTGCGACACAACAATATTTGGACGAATATGCACAAGGCGCCACATTTACATATGAAGTGAAAAAGCAATTAATGGGGAGACTCATTCGAGAGTCGACACAAATTCTATTGGATCACTACCACGTCAACGACACCGTCGAACACGCCATGCAACACAAAATCGACGCACTTGAAAAACTCTGGCCAACTGCAAAGCCTCTTCCAGGCGCTTTCCGCATTTTGAAGTACTTGAAAAGTCACAACATCCCCATCGCTTTGGCTACTTCTACTACTCACGCCGTCTTTAAACAGAAGATGGAGACTCAAAAGGAGTTGTTATCGTATTTCAGTGCTATTGTTCTTGGTGACGATGTCAAGAGAGCCAAACCATTTCCTGACATCTTTGTCGAAGCGGGAAAAGCACTTGGGTGTACTGACATGGCAGAGGCCGTTGTCTTCGAAGACGCTGTTTTGGGCGTAGAGGCCGGACTTGCTTCTGGGGCGTTCACAATAGCCATCCCTGACTTCACTCATGACATCGATGAATACTTTTCTAAGGCAAATCTGATCCTCAAATCACTCGACGAATTTAAACCTGAAATCCTTGGACTGCCACAAGACTATTAATGTCTGTTGAAAATACTTATTCATTTTTTCCATGTTATTTTAGGCATTTTGGTCCTCTCTGACACTTCTTTTCTTTAAGTTATCGCATTACAAAGGAAGCATCATACTGTATTATAATTTATAGTTCAATTATAATAAACAATTATTCTACTGAGTTCACTCTGGGGCGGTAGAATAGTTTAATTGTAGTATGATAACTATATGAAAATAGTTCAAGAACGAACAAGGTCGAAACGAAAAGACGATCAACAACTTTTCTTCCCCACAAGAGTATTTTGATCTTAAAAAAACCCATCGAACTGAAAATAAAAAAAAAGAAAATGGGTTCCAGTCTCGCTGGTGTTATTTTCAATTTCACATCACTTGGGTGTTCGGTTTTGTTGATCATCTGTGCCATCGTCATGTTCATTGTCATTCCAATTTTCGGTACAATTTCGGTCAGCAAAAATGATGAAATTTTGAAGGTTTGTTTCGCACATTTTTGACAGTGTGTTTGTATGAAAATTAACTCACAAAAAGCCAATAGTCGACGAAATGCAAAAATCCGTGGATGAAGCGATGAAGCAGTTAAATTGATTTGTTCAGACTTTTCGCGTTTCGAGAAAACAACAAACAGTGTTTCCTTAAGACAACAACAAGAACTGAATAACACTTTCAATTTAGAATAACAAAAAATCTCTTACAGCAAAACACACTTTTTCTTGTTGGTACCTTTTGCCTTTGAATCGTTGAGCGCCTCACGGATTTCAAGAGTAAAGCGCACGGCTTGTTGAAATATATCGTCAAGCCCCGTGTTTTTGAGTGCAGAGCACTCCATATAACACAGCGCATTTATATCTTTTGCAAGGTCCTCGCCTTCCTCGTAAGTATACGGTTTCTCTCCAGCGCTCTCGAGCTCTGCAAGAGTTTTTTGGTCTTCACGTAAATCAGACTTCGTTCCAACAACCATGTATTTGGCTGTCGGGCAGTGGTGGATGACCTCTTTGCACCACTTATCTCGAACGTTGGTGTATGATGATTTGTATATCACAGAGAAGCACAAGACAAAGATGTCAGTTTGAGGATAGGACAATGGTCGTAAGGAGGTGTATTCCTCTTGCCCGGCTGTATATTAGCTCAATTAGTTTGTTGGTTTGTGCACCGAAATTGCTCACAAAATCCGACTTTATGAATCCTGTCATTCCATTTTTTTCAATCTCAATTTTGAAAAACAACAACACTTACATCCAAAGTTGATTAAAAACATAAAAAATAACGTGAGATTGAAAAAATTGGAAGGGAAAAACATAAAAGGATTGAAAAATGGGGAAAACAAACCGGTGTCCCATAGTCCGAGATTGATTTTCTTTTTGTCAACCACAATATTAGCCACAAAATTGTCAAACACAGTTGGAACATACTCCGTTGGGAACTCATTTGAAGTGTACACCATCAACATGCATGTCTTGCCCACATTTCCATCTCCCACACACACCACTTTTATGTTAATTGCAGTCATTTAGTAAAGTGTGAATATGAAGTGCTTGTTCTTTTTTTCAGATCATTTTTTTTTCTAAAACGGGAATCTTTTTGTTTGGTTATTGTTTACTTATTTTTAAGTGTAATTGTAGTTTAAATTACTAGTTTATTACTAAATCAACTAATACTAGTATAATAAGTGTTTAGATATTTATTAGAAAAAATAAAATAAAATTTGGTTTAACTTAAACTGAAATATAAGTCCAGTATTTTCTTTTATGTCCATCAACAATAATTTGATTGGTAACTGTTTCGTGTATCAGGTAATGAAATAACAATTTGAAATAAATTAATTATTGTTTTATTTATTATTGAAATAACTTTTTTTAACCTTTTATAATAATATTTTTATAATACATTTTTAATTAAATCTAAATATGAAAACTTTATTATGTTACTCATATAAACTTTTTTTGTATGTTTTATTTTTATTGATGAAAAAAAAAATTCATAATCAATTAACTATATATTATAATAAAGTAATTGGTTTCATATAATTCTAATTCACTAAACTAAAGTTAATAATACATATTTTAAATAATGTATAACTAATTGATAAATACTAATAATTAAACATAGTTATGACTAATTTAATTTATGAAGTTTTTTAAAATCAAAACTTTTGTTCTTGTAAATTGTTATTACAAAAGTGTTAATTTTTTTTGTTATTGTTTATGTTATAATTATATAGTTTTATTATTTATTCAATATTATTAAATTGTGGTGTTAAAAATATAAAATTACCTTAAAACGATTTTTGAAAATATTAAAACTCAAGACCTTAATTTTTACCCTTTGACGTGTTGTTAACGTCAAACATATATTTATAGTATAATTAAATGATATTTTTATTATAATTAATTATAATTGAATAATTATAACATTGTTTTATAACATTGTTTTTTGAATAATTATCAATAATTGATAATTTGAAAAATTAAAGTTATAACCACAAACCAAAAGATAGATATAATTAATAACTAATTTATTATAACAATTAATTTATTTACTATTCTTATTATCAATATTACTATAATTCATTATTATTATTTTATTGGTGGACTTACTCAAATAATTACTTTTAATATTTCTTAATAATATGCGATAATATGCTTTGCTGTTCTCTATAAATAGAAAAACTTAATCTTGAGTTTTTGAACGGATAAAATCAATAAAAATACTATTTATATAATTATATCCTATAAATGCGATTTTTAGTAATTTCTCACAACTAAAATGTTTCAATAAAAAATAATTTATAAAACATTAGCAAAAACAATTAAACCCAAACTATAATTATAGTAAAATTCTTATTTTTAATATACAAAATCAACAATAGTGTATCATTCCCAAAAGTGACCAATGAGCTCATTAGACGATTTACAAACTTCAAAACTTCTAATAAAAAGAATTAGAAGAATTGAAAAAACCAGAATTTAATCATGACGATACAGTCTTCTCACTTTCACAAATTAGTGCGCTATGCAATCTCCAACAATTTGTTGCCATGGTCCTTTTGTACTGTTTTTGGGTCAAAACAAAAGGAATTGGATTTTTACTCCTATGGCGTTGTTAAACATCTTCTCTCAGAGAAAATCGTTCATTCCTTCTCTGTATGTGACCCAAAGTTTTTTACTTCCTTCAGAGATGGATGTATGGCTGCCCGGGAGCAACTCTTCGACGAACTGTTGTCAAGTTATATTCCCGTCACTCAATCGAAGGGGAAACGTGTCTGTATGGTCATCGCAGAGTGTTCTTTAGTTTCTCCAACTTTGAATTTCCATGATGGGCAAGTCGTTCTTGGAATTCAGTCGTTCTTAATTAACAACTTGTTTGTCGCAGGCTGCCAGAATTTCTTTCATTACGATTTCTCAATCGCTGGGCCTGATCGTAACACTTTACGTGTGACCGATTACTCACGCACTGATGTCAACTTATCTGGTTTATTCAACTAGTAATTTACTATATAGTAATTATATAGACGAATGTATATCTCGCTTGTGAATCGCTTATACTCACTTTTAGTGTTTTTTTTTATCT